AAAGTCATTATCAGAGTAAAATAGGCTATAATGTATGTCTCTTATCACAATGGCTAGCATATAGTAAGCCGTATAATAATAATACAGTTAATCCTTATTTTTATTATTTAAAAAAAGAAGTAACAGTAAGAAAGGAACAGATACGTATGTATATTCACATGCCCAGACTAAAGCCTGGAATGCTACACACCAAAAATAGGTGGTAGGATTAAAAATGATACACAATGAACACATAACTTCAGTAACTAGAAAAATATTAAGCTATTTTCATCCTTAAAAAATTAAAAAATGCAGCCATAAAATAATTCAGTAACAAACTCTTTGCAGAGTCTTTCAAGGGTTGGGAAACTCTGGCTATGCTAAAATGATTCCAGGAAGTCATTTGCAAAACTGAGAAGAGATTAGCATCTAAATTAAGTGCTTTGCTTCACTACAATAACACTGTATCTTTGAAAGTGAACATTAACTGCATCCAATTCATATATTCCATGTCAAACTATTACCCAAATCAAATAAAAAATTTATATTTGATATATTAACATAATGAACCTCTTCAAATACATACGCAATCTAATACAAAAAATACCCAGTTATTTGCATTCCTCTTTCAGGATTTTGCAATCACTACATCTACTGTTTGGGGCAAGTACAAAGACAAAATGTATCCTTAAGCAGTAGCATCCTCACCAAGTCCTAAGCTGCACCAATTTTCTTCTGCCTAAAACTATAGTTTAAGCTATAAATAAATAAATAAATAAGTAAATAAATGCATACTTATTTATTTATTTATTATATATACAATACCTACATGTATGATTACTGTACCATTCTGGGTATTCAATGAAGAAGTTAATGTTAAACTCTTATCTACTCACATTAGCTGGTTGGTTATCCAGTACTCAGAACTATCCAAGAGAAATATAATGCAAGCAAGAAACATCACAAACAGGTAAATTTAAGTACAGATATTACTAACCCAATTATGTTAAAAAAAAAATATTTGTGAGATTTTTTTTTTTTTTTAATGTACTCAGCCCAGTTTGGTGTATAGTTCTTACTTATATATAACACAACTTAATTTGGACTAGTCATATTTTACCCTTTGCACTCCGAACCATTCTGGACATTGGCTACCAGCTACTCTTGACGCTACTTTGCGGTGGAAACGTGCATTTACAGACCCTCGTATTATTTAGTATAATTTTGGAACCAAGTAACGTATTATAATGATATTGGACTTATATGAATTGGGTGACATCGAAGAATGTATATTTGCAAAAAAAAAAAACCAATATTTTATTGTTTATAATTTTGTACAGTATGATAAGTTTCTAATTGTTATTACTAACTGACAAGATGATATTTACCAAAATAGCTTTCACCAAACAATTTATTCACTAATAAAAGAATCACTTTTCCGATTTTCTCACTCGTTAGATCTATGTGCACTGCTCGAAGCTTCAAACCAAAATGAGCTCAGCTTTGAAAATCTTTTCCTCCAGATGTAGACTTGTCTATTTGTAATTATATATCTCACTATACAGTGCGCGCTATGTTTGAAAATCGACCTTTCTTCTACAAACTCCCCTTATCACTCTTTTCAAGTGGCGTCGCGAAGTGCTCGGACCGTCGTGAGCACGCATCTCACGTTCTCGTCCAACACAAAACCCGCTGACATTTCTTGTATATATCTTAGTAATTTTACAATATTTTGATTTAATTTCTTGTGCCATTTCAAGATAAAACTTCAGGGAAACATGCATGTCTCAAAAAGTTGCGTTGAAATAACTCAATTCCCCGTAATCACTAATAAACTGCAATGTCCCCTGAGAGGGGACATCCGAGTGATATGCTAGAATTCTGATGTCCCCTGAGAGGGGACAGCGGAATGCAAAGGGTTTAAATACACAATAGCCACATATGTATACTGGCTACCATACTGTATGGCACAGAGCTAGAGCTACTCAAGCCCAAGCAAGGCATGTATGCTTCTTACCAAGTATTAAGTCCTAATTCCAGTCATGCAACACACTACCATGAACTGCTGGGCAAGTCTGCTTAGGCCAAAACCAAATAAAATTCATTTCAAAGATTGAGGGTGTTGCTGACACTGTTGGGTGTTTTCAGTTTGGGGTGTATGTTTTGGGGGGGAGGAGGTGTGTTTATTTTGTTTTTGAAGAGTCAGGAGTTGAAGAGACAAATAAGCTTGGTCCCAGTAAGTTCTACTATTGGAAAAACAACTCAAAATACATGCCATAACAGAGGGAGAAAGGAATATTATTAAGAACCTGCACAATCCTCAGCAGAATGAAAAGCATGAAATAAAGAATTCAGCTGTATAAAGTATAGGGCTCTTCAGAATGAGGTTTTTCACTGGCATTGATGTATCTTCAGAGAATGTTATAACACACAACAGGGCTCCAAAGTCAGCTACATTTTTTAAGGAACAAAAAATTTAATCCATTAGCCTGATAATCTATTTTAACCTATTACTTTAATAGCTTAACCCTAGTTATAGAAATATTTTATTTATATTCAGAGAACATTAAGGTCAAACTATTTTAAAATTTAAAAACACTTGCATAGAAGCAAGGAAAAAGAACTGGAAATACATATCCCTAAATGTTAATAGTAATTATGGATCAGTAATTTAATGTACATGTATGACTTTCAATTATGAAAAAATAAAGTGGCAATAACTTTTTTCAAATTCAATTATATTTCCTTTTAATTCAATCCATTTACTTTTAAACCTTTTAAGATTATGACACCCATGCAAGCTGTTTTTCTTTCTCTAGAACCCTCATGGGCAGAGTAACCTTTGGCTGATCAGGGCAGGGACAAATTAAGCTTAACCACAATTACCACATTTCATTTCAAGGAAATCTGAAAGTCATTTGTGGAACTACAAAGATCCACTGAATAACCTGAAGGATTTTCATGTTAGGTAAATAGGTGTCAAATGCATTACTTTAAACATCAATATCTCTTAGAGAATCCTAAAACAAGTTAGCAATAAAGCCAAGAAAACCCTCCAACTCTTCAAACCACAATTCAAGCAGGACCATTATTTAAGGCTGCTAGACTCCGGGTTCTTAGAGCCTTGAAAAGAGAGTTTGGCCCTTATTTGATGTTCAAATTAAATTTAAATCTCTCTGATGTAAATTATCATTCACTACTTTATTTCAGTGTATTTGGTTTAATTTTTTCTACAAATGTCATTTGTCAAAATGGTTTCCTAATCATAACTGCATTGGACAGTTTGCACCACTACAGCACTACATGTGATAGCAGATAACTGATCCACCTACATACCAGGAGTCCTTTGTTTCCATGTATAAATCTCCAACATTAATGTGTCCTACATTTTCACTGTGATTTAACAACCACTTTTTTCTTTTAACTAAGCCTCTAATCTCATTTTTCAGAGGTAGATTGCAGATAATCAAAACATGGCAGTGGCTTAAAAAACTCAGTATGCTTCACTAATTTCACAATATGGTAGAAATAAGATAAACACAGGAAGGCCATTCATCTTCATCCTTGGAATTCCATCATGACTTACTATTGTCTGTTCACATATAAGAAAACAAAGATGTATGGTAAATGAACAAATGAGAATGTACCAAGATCTTTTCCTGAAAAGTATTAAATTGGGGAAAATTACAAGTGAGAACTAATTTGTATTGTCCCTCTTCCCTTCAAATGATTTTATATAATTTTATATTTCATTTATTCCTTCTTTTGTCAGTAAAATACTGGGTACAAGGTCTAAACTACAGTAAGCCTAAATTAATATTAAATATCTAGAATAACTAGAATAGAAAAAGAAGGATTAGGAAAGAAAAAGAAAGGCATTAACAATAGACCCCCAAAAAAATTTTAAACTAGTATTTTTCTATGGCAAAAAAAAAAAAAAAAAAAAAAAAAAAAAAAAAAAGTCAAGTGTTAAATTTCATAGCATTGGGTTTTTTAAATCCAAACTTTAAAAATTCAAAAGCACTACTCAGTTTGCCTAATATAGCTCACTTAGTAATTACCTGCTCTTATGACATTCTATATGGTTCATGTAAAAAAAAAAAATTCACCAACTATGTATACATAATATATATTTAGCATTCTTTTTACTCAAAATTAAAGGGGCACCTACATGTGATAAGAGAATTTTAGGGGTAATAAAGGTGATTATCCTTAGGAGTTGTGTGTTGAAATATTTAGAGGTGATGCAACCCAATGTCTAAAACTCACTTTCAAATGTTTCATTTTAAAAAGTCTGCATATATAGACACATATAAGATGTTCATTTATATACACAAATGTGCACATGTCCTAAATGTTACCCAGTTAATCTAGATAAAGGATAAATGGTTGCTCATAGTATTAATTTTTTTAAAATATTTTATTGATTTTTTGCAGATAGAAAAGGAGAGGAATAGAGAGCCAGAAACATTGATGAGAGAGAAACATCGATCAGCTGCCTCCCGCACACCCCCCACTGGGGATGTGCCCGCAACCAAGGCACATGCCCCTGACCGGAATCAAACCCAGGATCCTTCAGCCCGCAGGCCGACGCTCTATCCACTGAGCCAAACTGGTGAGGGCTCATAGTATTATTTTTATAAATTTAAAAAAATTGTACTATTTTTTTTAGAGAAACAGGGATGAGGAGTGGGAGATGGTAGGAGGAAGAAATGTCAATCAGTGTTTCACCCATTCATGCATTAATGATTGATTCTTATGTACCCTGATCAGGAATAGAACCTACAACCTTATATGGGAACAACTGGGCAATGTGGCCATGGTCAGAAGTTTAACGTTTTTCAAAATAAAAAGTTGGGGATGAAAAGGGCACACAGAAAGCCATTTATCTATTCCTTAAAAATTATGCTTCACCCAAGAGTCAAGGAGCCAAGAACATATTTGCCATTTATACTTAAAATATCTCAGATCCAACATCTGTATGGAAAACTCTTATTTGAAAGAAAAGTTCTGATACTCACATTGCCCATGTACTCCGAGAGCAGGTCCTGCAGGGCCTGGCGGACAGCATTACACTCGGCCACGATTCTCTCACGCCGGTCATCACGAGTGCAAGATGAGTCAGCCATCAGGGCAGCCCCACTAATGATGCTTTCCAGGCGCTCCTCCAGGGAAGGCCTAAAGCGCTCCTCGCTGAAGCTCAAGGGGTCCACAATGATTTGTTTCTGCAGAAGCAGCATTATTAAATGTTAATGCTAATCTCCGTTCCCTTCATTATTTCCAGAAGGTGAGGAAAGTGCTGATTAGAAACATCAAGATTTAACACAAAAATTACAATTCCTAAAAGTTATACTTCTTGATAGATGAGGGGCCATACTACACAAGTTGGTCTATGGCTCACTTATAGAAGACGACAATGGAAGCAGTATATCCAGCTGAAGGCACTGGAAGCAGTACTATCCACCTGAATGGGGTCTGGGCAGTGGTCGGCAACCTCATTAGTCAATAGAGCCAAATATCAACAGTACAACAATTGAAATTTCTTTTGAGAGCCAAATTTTTAAAACTTAAACTATACAAATTTTTAAAACTTAAACTAAAGATAGGTACATTGTTATTAACTTAATTAGGGTATATGGTATTTTGTGGAAGAGCCACACTCAAGGGGCCAAAGAGTCGCATGTGGCTCGCAAGCCATGGTTTGCCAACCACTAGGATAAGGTATACCACAAATGGCAAACAAAAGTATGTCACCTTAAAAATCATGTTCAATATACCTAATCTGAACATTTAAAGGCCAACTTATATAGTATTATTAAGTTACCAAATGAAAATTACAGGGAAAAAAAAAGCTCTCTTTTTTTTCCTCTATGTACAGAGTATAAAACTGTTTCACCACAAAAATTTAATAAACTTAACACCTGTCTTCAAACTTTCAGAATGAAATGCATTTATAATCAATTTCAATCTATTTTCTCCTTACACATCTCACCAAATGTTTATGAACAATTCAGCCTCAAATTTATCCTCAATTTATGTCTAAATTCAAGGCTTTTTCCCTCTCAAATATCTCTGTAAGAGACAGTAGCAATCTCTCCCAACAAAGCCACTCTATGATATAACTTTCCCAATAAGAATAAGTGCTTCCTGTCTCCGCTTTATTCCCTTGACTCCAGTTATATCCAGCTTTACCAGTGATGAGTGAGGTCACAAGAAAGCTATGGTACACATCAGGGAGGTGGCTGTTGGTGTCCCTCCAACTTCTCCACTTGATATAATTTATCCTTACACTGGCAAATGTCTGGGCAAGTATTTTACCTTTAATTTTTCTTTATGGGGGCTATGTTCTTGTTGATTTAAACATAAATGCCAAGGTTTTTCTTTAAAAAGCTTGTCCTTTTCTAATAAGTGTACATTTCTTCTTTTCCTTTCAAAGAACGCCCCTGTTTCAAGATTTAGCATGCAGACCTTGAATTCATTATTAACCTACATTTTAGCTCATCATTTTTCTTACAGACTAAGTTACTGCAGGATTTCTCTGGTCAAAACAGAACACACAATGCATTCTGACCAACAGGAATGAGGAATTAATGGTCCCAGAACTTAAATCGTCATAGCGCTGCAACCCACCTCTGATCATTCAGTCCAATCCCCTCACCTATGAATTAAGTGGCTTCTGATATTACTCAACTTGGGGCAAAATGTAACTCTTATTGCTTTGAAAGAGACCAATATACTGTCAAATGTAAGGGGGGATGGAGGAGGACAGACACCACCACCAGCAAATTGTAAGATGTTATCATCAAAGTTTGCTATAAAGTTATTTAATGCTTAAGGATCCAGAGTAAAATTCAGTTCTATCACCATGTTTTCATAATATATGAAAAGTATTAAATCATCCATTCGTATCAGCAAGGATCAGTTACCCACACCAAAGTAAAGTACTGAGACAAAGCAAAGGCAAGGAAAAAATATTAAAAATAGAATGCACTCCATTATACTGATTCTTTAATTTATAGCATTCCTACTTATGAAAGATGTTGGCAACCTGGAAATCAATTTTCCCTTATGTTAATTAAAATAACAATAATAAGATTTTTTTTTTTTAATCTTAAACTGCTGTCATCTACTGGAACCAGGAGGCATTATGAGTAAAAATTTTAAAAACAAACCCACCAAAAAAAATTAAGATTAAGTACATTGGATAATGTGTACAGAGGATGTATAGGCATCATCTACAAAAGATAATTACATGGCATTATGCTACAAATTATTTTAGCCGCAAATCTGCTTCCACTTGATTAAATTTTGTCTATTATTACAATTTAGTCATTGAGAAAAAAATATATCTAGACAGACAAGATGATGGCATGTCTGTTTTACTCATTTATAATGTATCTTTATTTCCAAATAGACTGTGCATTTACCTCTGTCTCCCATAGCTTCCCATGTACCAAAAGGTTAAAATCTTGGGTGAAATTAACTAAACTCATATCCTCAATAAAGAATGACCTCGTAGGAAATGCAAGATGCATTAAAGAATTTAGAAGTTTAATCAAACTAATAAAGAAAAGAATGAGAAAGCAAAAGAAAAAGAGGAAGCATAAGAGGAAGGGAAAGAGAATGAGACAGAGAAAGAGAAAGAGAAATGCTTTAGGCCAAGCAAAGATAAGTAGACTTGATGATTCATAAAATTTTTTTCAACCTAAATTGCATATCTAATAGAAATTGAGCTTTCATTAGAAACCTTGATCACATTTTCCCAGAAATCTTGGATGGTCAAGAGCCTTAAGTTTCCTCCCTATATAACTTACATCAAAGTTATTGAGGGCATATGCCAGCTCTCCTCCTCCTCCGCCTTGGTGCTGGGAGGCATCATCCGACGCGGTGGCCTGGGCTGCATTGGAAATGCCTGTGACTGCCTGCTGCAGCTGCTTGTATATCAGGTCTCTGTTGGCCTTATAGGCTGCAACATCAGGGTGCTGTAGGCATGCCTGGGAAGCAGTATAGAGAATCGGAACATTTTTCTGCAGGATTCCTCTGGCTGCAGCCATCTGATCACGATGGCCCACATCTTTCAGTTCCTATAAGAGTAAAACAATAAATTTTAACAGTTCTATTCATATAACATTTTGTCAGTAAATATTGAAAGTTAGAATTTTTACTAAATAGACACAATATTTTCATTAAGTCTAGCTTGGAAGCTCATCACAAAGGAGGCAATATGTCTTAGTAGATAAGAGTTCAAACTTTTCCAAACCACACAGACCTAGATTTCAATCCCCAACTTTACATTTTCCTAACTATTGTGATCTTACTTTAAGTCTCCATGGTCAATTTCACCTTCTGTAAAATAGGAACAATAGTACCTCATTGTATTGAGGATTAAAAGGAATAAGGCACATAAAGCACTTAGCACAGCACTAAATAAAAAGTGAAACTTAAAACTGACTAGCATCTTGATTACAGCTATATAAAGATATAGAAAAATCACCCAGAGAAATACTTAAAAATTTATTATAAGAAGTTTTTTATTAAGTTATAAAATTAATTACGAGAGTTTTGTGAAATTTGGGATAAGATACCATAGGAGTACACGAATTATGCAACCAGACAAGTATTCTCCCAAGTAAACTCCTTCCCTTCCTTCTCCCTCCCCAAAGACCATCTTAGGACATGGGTCATTAGGCACAAAGCTGAGGCTCACACGTTCCATACTGAAAATCAAAAGGTTTGTATTTCATTATAATACTCTATGTACATGTGGTCTTAAGTGAAAATGTCCTTTACAATTTCCTCTACCCCATAATTATAGTCTACAGTTAAAAGGATTTGAGGTTCCTTGTGGTCTATACTACTAGCCTCTAATTGGTAGACAGGGTGAATATGCTAAGGATAAATAAGTGATACCAATAATAAGCAAGATGTGAAGGGGTTACTTCTGATATCGCCTTGTTACTGAAATTACTCAAACCAATAAAATTAAGTCTTTAGTACCAGTAAATGTGGATCGCCACCACAGAAGAGAAATATGTGATCACCATAGCTGTTCCAACTCTATTTTATGTAATCACAGAATTTCAACGTTAATGTCACCAAATGAATCCTAAAGTACAAATTTAAATGTGTTAAAAAGAAGTACTAAATGTGTAAACATGTAAAAGAAAACTTAGAAAAGCCAAAATCAATTACTCAACTGATTCAACTATTTAATGTTCATCTCACTAGATGAGTTCCTAACTAAGCATTAGAAACACCAAACTCTGAAACTTCATCTCACTATATATTTTAGATTTGCATCTTTATTCAAACCTTGTATAATATGACAGCTTTCTATTCCTCCTAGAATTCTTTTCTCATTTGAAATCTGAATCTGCAAGTAATAGCTCACAGCATTCCAAATGCCCTGTAGCACAGCACAGTACATTAGGCTAAATATTCAGAAACAGGACCCTGTGGATTTAGTCAGTGATGATTTTAAGAATCCATCTATGACAGGGAGCTGAGGCTAACCATTATGCTTAAACAGCTGGTGCACAAATTCTGAGTAAAATTTTCTAAATATCTTGCCCTCACCACAATCTCAAGGACTTTTAAGTCTGCTAGGAAAGCATTTGCCTTGAAGCACTTATATTTGTCCTCTGTTTTAATACAAATGTTTTGCAATCAACTTTGGCATTCTTTGTAAGTACCTATAACCTAGATCAGTATAGCCATTTACAAAGGTTATTAAAGAAATATGTGGTCACCTAAAGTTAATACATAGTCTGAATTACTATTCAACGCCTGACTTTCCTAAAGTCGCTGACTGACCTGCTATGATAAAAGTCTATCTACAATTGAGGCATAGGCATGGGGGTGGCTACAGCATGGAGAATGACATGATGGTAATCTATGTGCTTAAAGTTACAGCAGAAACATCACACCTGTTTGCTGGATCACTGAAGTCGGTCAGAGTCATTGGAAGATGGAAGTAGGGAGAGCTAAACCATCTCTGAGAACTGACTGCCACTTGGACTGCAGCCTGGTTTTTAGAGCACACCATGTAATTCCTTCCACGTGTAGGTTCAGTAACATAAATCAGTCACCAACAGGAGTGCTCTTAAATGGAATATAATGTTTGCTTAAATAGTTAAAGAGAACATAGAAGAATGTTCTCCTGGGAAATAGCAAGGCTTAGGAGAAGCCCAGGAAGTTCAACCAAATGAAAAAAAAGTTTAGCTTGAATTTGGAGAATTAAAAACAAAACAACAAAACCTACCTTTCCAAAGACTATTATCAGGTTAAATATTCAGAAACAGAATCCCCTGGATTTAAAAAAAACTATCATCTCAAGACTCAAGCTATGACACGGGGCTAGGGCTAACCATTATGCTAAAGCAGCTGGTGCACATGTTCTGTATGGCATTTTCTAAATGTCTTACCATATTGCCCTCACCATATTGTATCTCTGAACAGATTCCTATTCAACTATTGGGGAATATATTTGAATCTATGACAGCTAAGTATCATCATTTGTCCTAACTGCCAAAGTACTTTAACTTTCACTATTACTTTTTTATAATCCCCACCTGAGAATGTTGATGTTTTTTAATTTATTTTAGAGAGAGAAATGGGAGAGAGAAAAAGAAAGAAATATCAATATAAGAGAAAAACATCTATCAGTTGCATCCCGTACATACCCTAACCAGGTATGAAACCACAATTTAGGTATGTGCCCTGACCCGAAATCAAACTCGCAACCTTTTTGGTGTATAGGACAATGCTCCAACCAACTGAACCACCCAGCTGGAGCACTACTTTCTCTTAAGTGCTTTTGCTGTAACACAAAGAAATTGGATTTTGTTAAGTACAGATAAGAAAATGGACACTATCACAAGGGTCCATTTAGTATAAAAATAATAATCTTAAGTATTCTTTTCAAGATATATAATACTTATAGTAATTGAAATATTGGGAAAAGTGAGCTATTGAGCAATATAATATTAGTATAATAGATTACTTATGAAATAAGTGTCCTTTGGTCTACTTTAATCTTCATGATTCTTCAACTTCACCAGTTTGGTTATGTTTTAAGCAGACTCAGAAACAAACAGAAAACACATGGAAGAAAAGACTGCTTTTAATGTAACTAAACCAATATCATGCAGTGACCAAGAAACAGAAGTTAACTTTTAAGCAATCTATAACACACTCTCTTACCAAGAGTTGGAAATTCAAGTGAAAGTGTCTTCTCATTTCCCTCTTAATATAAAATTTGATTATGTCTTCTCTTGAACTCAAATGACTAACCTCTGCTTCCATCTATTTTACCCTTATCATCAAAGAAAAGCCTACAGCTTAATGGAAATTCAGCACTTTTGGTCAGCCAATAATATTCTAGCCCAAGAAAAGTAAAAGATTAGGGACACAGGCAAAATCCCATTCCAGGATGGATGTGTAGTACAGGTAAGTGACTTACTTATTCACTCGTTTGTTAAATAAATATTTATTGAGCACTACTATATCCAGGCAATGTTCTAAGCACTAAGGATTATAGTAGCAATTTAAACAGACAAAATCCCTGTCCTCTGAGCTAGAGAGCCCCAATTTAAAACCTGGCTCTACAACTTACTAGATTAATGACCTTGCCAAATTATTTAATCTCTTTGTGCTATATTTCCTTCAACTATTGGAATTAATATTTGATCAATTATAGTATCCACCTTACACCGTTTTGTGAAGACTGAGTTTGTGTTTATAAGTGGCTTATAACAGTATTTAGCACATAGTAAACACCTTTTTAGAGTTATTATTTCTAGCAACAGCCCGTACTAGGATGGAGCTCCTAGTTTTGTGGACTCTGCAGGTCCTTCGAATGAACCCTCAGGGACCTCCAAAAATGCTGGAAAGAGAGAATGTATGAGGATGTGAATTTTGACATGTGACTTTGCCAAAAGCTGTAGCATGTTTCCTGGCTATTTTAAAAGGAGAGTTTGCCATGGACCCAGACTTTATATGCCTGGAGATAATTTATGGAAGGGAAGGAGGAAGGAAAGTGGGCAGAAATAGGTAAATGAATAAATGGTTATGTGGGCAGGTGGACGAATAGATGGGTGGGAGGGTAGGTGGATGGAATGATATCCCCTGCCCCTGAAGAAACTCTTTTACATGTTTGTGCTCAGAAAAACCTGAAAAAAATCGATAAATTCCATAGAGCCTATAGACCTTAAGAGGTTTAACATTTCCTCAATAGGTGGCTGCTGCTTAAATTATACAAGGGAGGCTAAGGAAGCCAGTATACACATGGAAGTCAAATACTGTTCTTGAGGAAATAACCCTTTTGTGGACTAGGGCTGCCAGCAAAGATAAGAGGCTCAATGAGGAGATAAATTATACATACAACGTCTGGGAACAGATGAAAAAGTCAAAGATGAAAACAGTATAGGACAGCAGTTGCCAACTGGTATCCCACAGACCACTAGTGGTCCATGAGATCTGAAAGGTTGCCAACCGCTGGTTTAAGGAAACCTTTGGAGCAGCGGTCGCAAACCAGTAGTCCATGAGGTCTGAAAGGTTGGTGTCCACTGGTCTAGGGGACTAAGCATACAGTAATAGAGAAATTCTGCCAGGAAAAAATGGACTAGTTACTGAAGAAGGCCAGTGGGCAATATCCAAAAGGGAAAATTTCCTCCAGGCAGGTACCTTAGGATAAAATGAATAGCAATCTACTTCCTAAGAAAAGCACTAATTTATAAGAATACATACCAAGGTCTAGACCTATAAAAGGCCATTTTATAAATAGGAGGTACACAGGAGCCTATAGCCAGCCTACTCAATGGATTTTATTGTTAAGAGGCTAAGGCTAAAGGTTAAAGAATTAGACCTAAGGAAATCTATAAATAACCATCACATACTACAGACCCAAGACAAACTTTAAAATGGGAACAAGTATCACTCAAGATACCAGCAGTAAACTGATAATAAAATCAAACTACGTAATTCTAAGATGGTTTAGGGACTATGCTACAAAGGTCTGGGCAAAATACAGAGAAACCACAAGGTCATTAGAGCACTTAGGCCTGAAGACACAAAAGGAGACAGTAGTTATCATAATCCAGGGAACAGGTAGGTGTGTGGAGAATACCACCAGACACAGTATATGACTTTTAGCCATCCAGGGCAACCAGCCAGGAAAATAAAACCCCAGCCTCACTCTCCTATGTCCTCTGATCTCCTATTCATGCTCCCATTGGCCAAAGCAACCAAGAGCCAGAGGGCAGCCCCTGGATGTAGCCTAGACAGGTGAAGTCAGAAAGCAGGATGCACAAGGGCAGAAAACAGATATGGAAGGGCAAACAGAAGATCATCTACAATATTAATTAATAACTTCAAGATTTTTATGACATCTTATTTTGGAAATGTTTGAAACACTTCATGGATTCATGGCACACATGATTAAAAGTCTGGCAGCATTTCCAGTATGTTTCTCCAGTAGCATGCAAAATTCTGGATTATTATGTTTTATCTCAAGAACATCACTGATTTTTTTATCCCACCATTTTACAAAGATATGCAACAGTATCAGTCTAAATGTTCTCACTTTCTTCTCATAATATTAAGTCTTCATAAACCAAGATAGGACTGACTGGATTTTAGGACAATGCTATTATTAGCAATCTTTATTTTTTAAATATAACTAATATTTATTTCAGGTATTCAAGTGATGATTTATATCAAGAACATTAAGTAAAATAAATTATAGACATAATTTGGCCAGCCTGTGTTATTTTTTTTTTTAAATATATTTTATTGACTTTTTTTACAGAGGGGAAGGGAGATAGTCAGAAACATGGATGAGAAACACCAATCAGCTGTCTTCTGCACACCCCCCACTGGGGGTGTCCTCGCAACCAAGGTACATGTCCTTGACCAGAATTGAACCTGGGACCTTTCAGTCCGCAGGCCAACGCTCTATCTACTGAGCCAAACCAGTTTTTTTGGCCAACCTGTGTTATTTATAGAATTACCATATCATCCCTATCTAATAAAATAATAATATGCAAATTAACCATCACTCCGCTACATCCACAAGCCACGCCCACCAATCAGGAGCAAATGTGCAAATAAACCCAACCAAGATGGCTATGGCTACAGAGAGCTTGGGTTTCTCAGGCGATGAAGGAAGCCAAGCTTTCCGCACACCTTAGCCAGCCCAGGCCTCTGCTTAAGACTAGAAAGTTTCAATTGTAGAAGAGAAGTAAATGGTTGCTGCCACAAAGCAAACAGGAGGCTTGGCTCTGCTCCAGGTTACAGTTTCAAATGTAGAAGATAAATAAATCCCAGATACCAGGCCTTCACTTGGGTTGCCCAAGGGGTGCGGCTGGCCTGCAAACCACCACAGGCCCCTCATCCAAGCCCCAAGGGAACCCCACCCTGATCCAGGACAAGCTTCAGGGCAAACCAGCCGACCACACCCATGCACCAGGCCTCATCCTATCTAATAAAAGAATAATATGCAGACTGACCATCCGTCCAACACACAAGATGACTGCCCCCATGCTGTCAAAGAGCCTGCCCTCATGTGGACACAAGATGGTCACCACAAGATGGCCAGCAGGGGAGGGCAGTTGTGAGCGATCAGGGGAGGGCAGTTAGGGGGAACCAGGCCTGCAAGGGAGGGCAGTTGGGGGTGATCAAGTGTGCAGGGGAGGGCAGTTAGGGCAGAGAAGTTTGGGGCAACCAGGCCTGCAGGGAAAGGCAGTTGGGAGGGACCCAGGCCTGCAGAGGAATTGGGGGCAAACAGGCTGACAGGAGAGCAGTAATCAGGCTGGCAGGGGAGTAGTTAGGGCATGATCAGGCTGGCATGCTGAAGTGGTTAGGAGCAATCAGGAAGGCAAGCAGGCAAGCAGTTGGGAACTAGCAGTCCTGGGTTGTGAGAGGGACCCCAGATTGGAGAGGGTGCAGGCTAGGCTGAAGGACACCACCCCCCTGCACGAATCTCATGCACCGGGCCTCTAGTTATATATAACAAGTTCTTCTAGGGATTAATCAGCCCCAACAAAAGGGAAAAAATTACTTGAAATTTATGTGTTAGAGACATAAGCCAAGACTCGGACAAATGCTAAAAGTACATTGATCATACAATAACTATATTCCTTAGTACACCAAATCTCACTATATTATCATATGTAAAAAAAAGAAAAAAGATCCTATATGTGCAGATTCAGTCTGATCACATCTTCTAGCTTGAAATATGAGCAATAACTACTATTCACCAATTGCTCACTGCCTGGCACTATATTATGTATATTATTAATTTAATCCATTAGTTTTATACTAATGTAAATATAACCAAATGAAAGTTACTAATAAGTCTTCAAAGCTAAGGCTGTCAAAAACTGGACAAAGTATTGACCCCATTTTTCTCATGCTTGTCAAAGCTCTTGTTGGGTGTTCTGTTCCCAATAAAGCTACCCCCATCCTGTACCGTATTACTCTGAGTCAGACATAGTATCTGCTTTCCTCTTACCAATGATTAGTGAGGAATGGCTACGTTACACAATTCAGATTTAGGGCAAATGTGTTAGGGGCTTCTGGATTGTTTGCTTATAGACATAAGGAACAATCCTTTTATTTTCTCACTGGCCATATTGATGTGCATAAATGCCATGCCTAAAGTTCAGCAGCCATCCAGTGCTGGAAACTGTCAAGAACCTGGACCCTTGTTGATATTGCAAAGCCTTTAAATTTAACAATCATCCTGAAGTCAGAAATATAACTTGCGATTTCTAATTAGTGAGAATATAAATCCTTCATTGTTAAGTAGTTTTGGAGCTGGTTTTTCTGTGAACTGCAATGTAAAATATCCTAACTGGAATAGGTATTGGCTAACAATAATAATAATTTATATTTTCTGGGCTTCTTTAAAAATAAGAATTAAAAACTTGATCAGGACTATGGAAGTTATAAGAAGCTGACAGTGACATATGCATATCCCCTACAGAACACACATCTAACACACAACATCCAACAGGAAGGGCACAGGGAAACTACAAAGCATGGTAACAGCAGAAAACCCCAAAGATTTAGCAAAGCTTGAAAATAAGAGCAGTGATCCACATGCCACACAGTACAAATTTCTAACACTATGTAATAGCAATTAATAAGAAATACAGTTGAGCCTTGAACAATGCAGGTGTTGGAGGTGTGAACCTCTCCCTCCTCCCCGCCCCATTTGAAAATCTATGCATAACTAACTAGTTGGTCCTCCACCTCCTCGGATCTAAAATATACATATATAATGAAAAAATATGGAGAGGGGAAAAATACTTTCTGATATAGAAGTCATTTCAGTATGTTTGAACTTGTTTAAGATTTTCAAAAACCTGAGATAAATGCCATTATCAACTCAAGTTAATCCTCAAATGCACATAACTATTACCTCTCCTACACTATCACAAATTGCCAAGCTACTTAAAACAAAAATTTTAAAAGATTGAAAATAAGAGCATAAAGTGAATACAACTTAATTTTTAAAATAGTAAAATGTTTTAATTGCATTACATTGGCAGATAGGTACTGTAAAACTTAGATAAAATAAATTTCTCAAACTAGTAATATTATAAATAATTTTAATATATCCCTAAATCTTTACTATACCTGTTGCCTTTTAGCTGCCATAATGTTCAGTTTATCCACTTCAGGTTTCAAGGCTTTATACTGTATTCCTAAGTCTTGTTCAGTGCCGGCATTCCTCAGTTTCAAGATACCATCTTCCACCTATTAAATATACCCCCCCCCCAAAAAAAAAATTATAAGCAATTCTTAAATAAGGAATTTTTTATGCCCTGAAACAGTAATTCAGACAGCAATTCAAATGTTCTCTTTAGTTACATGGCACTCTAACATTTAGTAGCTACTACATGGAGCTTTTTAGGAGCTGAAAAGGACAGTATTACTGATTTCTATTTAAGGATACAATTTAACATACCTTGGTTTCTCAACTCTGGAACTCAATTGGTATAAGAAAATGTTTAATCACTACTACAAAAGGGAAGAACTCAAAATAATACATTTGCTACAAGTTCTTCATTAAAACCAAGACAACACAGCTCACTGTATGTCGTACATTTGGAATAAAGGAACAAGTGGAAATGAAACAAAAACATCCCTGGTCCATTTAGGTAAACCACTCCATGTCCCAAGGAATGCTGAATTAAAATGGCCAGTAGCACTTTCACTGTGATAGAGAAAACAAATTACAGCCGGGACCGGTTTGGCTCAATGGATAGAGCGTCGGCTTGGAGACTGAAAGGTCCCAGGTTCGATTCCGGTCAAGGGCATGTATCATGGTTACGGGCATATCCCCAGTAGGAGGTGTGCAAGAGGTAACTGATAGATGACTCTCTCTCATCGATGTTTCTGACTCTATCTCTCTCCCTTCCTCTCTGTACAAAATCAATAAAATATATTAAAAAAAAAAAAAAAAAAAGAAAACAAATTACAGACATAGGCATGTACTTACAACTTTCAGCTGAACAAGTAATTTATAGACATCTGCCATGTCAGCCAAAATAAGCAGCCGGGTAACAGCAGAAAGCAATGCTCGAGCTGCCCGAACCATGTTGCCACGTTTCACAGAAGAACAGGGATCATCTGCAAACTCTCCTGCAGCACTCTTCATTAAATCACCTGTTTTACAGAATGAAGAAAACAGCAGAAATGAGCCGAACAGCTGGTCTACATTTAAAAAATAAAATATAATAGCCCTGGCCAGTTTGGCTCAATGGATAGAGCGTCAGTCAGCAGACCAAAGGGTCCTGGGTTCGATTCTGGTCAAGGGCCCTGTTTGGGTGCATGCAGGAGGCAACCAATCGATGTGTTTCTCTCTCATCAATGTTTCTCATTGTCTTTCCCTCTCTCTCCCACTCTCCCTGAAAATCAATAGAAAAATATCTTCAGGTGAGGATTAAAAAATAAATTTAAGATTTTTATTTTTGTTGTGTTTTTCTTTGTGTTTTTGTGTGTTTGTGTGTTTTTGTTTGTTTTTTAGAGCTGTTACTAAGAGAAAAGCACCCTCATATGTTGCTGGTGAAAGCACAATATTTGGAAAATGATTTGGTACTATAAATCAAAAGTCTTAAAAAATACTTCTTTCCAATAATCTAATAATACTCCTTTAAAAAAGGAACATTGTATGTATCCTAAGAAAACGAAATCTAACATTTGAGTGGGGAAAAAAAATTGGATCTACTGCAATCTATCCTCACATCCACAGAATTACACAGAAATATAGGAACCATTATGAAAGGACCACCACGCTTCATAAACCATCCCAACTATTTAATGTGTACAGCTATAACAGTAATAGGGACTCACTAATACGTGGAAGACAGAGTTCAGTCACTGATACTCATTTTTCTCATAGTAAAACATTGCCAACAACTCAAATGCTCAACAATAAGCATCTAGTTAAGTAAACTATGGTCTAGCTCTGTGGCCGGCAAACTGAGGCTCTTCAGCCCCTTGGAGTGTGGCACTTCCACAAAATACCACGGACTAGGCGAGTCTATTTTGAAGAAGTGGCGTTAGAAGAAGTTTAAGTTTAAAATATTTGGCTCTCAAAAAAAATTTCAATCTTTGTACTGTTGATATTTGGCTGTGTTGACTAATGAGTTTGCTGACCACTAGTAGGTAGCCTATAATTGACTATTCTGCAAATAGAAACATATATATAAAAAAAATGTTAAGGCATATAATAGAACCTTAAACAACAAAAGGAAAAAGTTATAAATGTGTGTAATCTGGGTTTAAAAAAGAAAGATTGAAATAAGGGTTAAAAAAATAACATTTTATATAACGAACAGTTATTATATCCACAATAAAGAAAATTAAGCTAAAAAATTTACATTTTACTATAGTTATTAGGAATATCCAGCTTATATAACTCTAAAATACAATACTAAAAATTTATATATAACATTTCCTAGAAACTTATAAAATAAGTTTTTGTCATTCATTTCTATTAGTAATCATTTAAGGTACCTATATTATCCCTCTTTTCTAATAACTGGAAACAACTGGATGACTAGGGCTATGTCTGTTCCACCAGTTATACTATCATGTGACTATATTTATGTACTTGGAGAGTCATATACTTCCTCCCTTGACTGAATGTGTCCACTTCAGATTAAAGCTTAAAAGCCATTCACTCATCTCTTCCACAAATATAAAACATACACTATCAAGAAACCTAGCTATTCTGAAGACATCTACCAATTTCTCCTAGCTATCAAATTTACTTGCATAATATGAGCTGCTGGAAGTGCAGGATGTGGGGGTGGGAATTCACCCTCACATTCATATATTAATTAGGTTTAAAAGTATCATATATATTGCCGAAGCCGGTTTGGCTCAGTGGTAGAGCGTCGGTCTGCGGACTGAAAGGTCCCGGGTTCGATTCCGGTCAGGGGCATGTACGATGGCTGCGGGCACATCCCCAGTAGGGGGTGTGCAAGAGGCAGCTGGTCGATGTTTCTCTCTCATCGACGTTTCTAGCTCTCTCTCTCTCTCCCTTACTCTCTGTAAAATATCAATAAAATATATTTAAAAAAAAAAATAAAAAAAAATAAAATAAAAAATAAAAAAAATAAAAGTATCATATATATTAAGAATAAAAACAGGCTCGGGCTCTTATCTATTAGGTCAAAAATAACTAACAATGAAGAATCTCACAGTTAAAAGGTTTTTTCTGTATGTAAAATACATACATATGAAGGTATAGATATATGGTAACTATTATGTGGATACATGACATTAAAAATGTTATCTCATGGTACTTAAAAAGACAGAGCCCATTTATTTATTTATTCAATAAATATATTAGCACCCATAATACATCAAAGACTGTACGAGGTATAATGATATAGTGCATAAGAAGCAATCCATGTCCTAACAAGAGATAAGGAAGGTCACTTCATAATACTAATGGGAGCAATCCAACAAGAAGAAATAACTCTGGTAGGCTGGGAGCGGCCAGGCCCGGGGGAGCAGCCGGGTCGGGTGCGGCCAGGCCCGGAGCAGCGGCTGCCAGGCTGGGAGCGGCCAGGCCCGGCGGAGCAGCCGGGTCGGGTGCGGCCAGGCCCGGAGCAGCGGCTGCCAGGCTGGGAGCGGCCAGGCCCGGAGCAGCAGCAGCCAAGTCCAGAGCAACTAGGTCGGGAGCAGCAGTGACCAGACCCGGAGCAGCTGGTTGTGGAATGAACCAGAGAAACAGAGGCCAGGCCCTGAGCAGCCAGGCCCGGAACAGCTCGCTCCTCACCTGCCCCTGCCCACGGCTGCCTCTCAGACATGGCTGGAAACTTTCGTGGGAACTTGAGGCTCTGCTGAATCAAGTGATGAAGGCTTAGATCTGGATGTGTTGAGTTAGTATAGGGCTGGGGGTGTTGATCTGTGAGTGCCTTGTGTGGGGCCTGGATGAGGCTGGTGGACCTATTGGGAAATGTCTTTTGTGTGAAGTGTATCATTGGCATGTGGAGGTATTATTGATATGAGAAAATGCTAAGTAACTGATTTACTATCTGAAAAGGGATTTACTATTGGGGAAAGGGAGGGAGGAAGAGACTGAACATAAACTGTGCACCTATGGATGAGGACAATGGGGGATGGGGAGAGGGCAGGGGGTGGGGTGGGAACCTGGTGGAGGGGGGAAGAAATGAGGAACCTTTGTAATAATATGAACAATAAAGATTGATTTAAAAAATAAAAAATAAATAAAAAATAAATAACTCTGGTAAACATATATGCACCCAATACAAGAGCATACATTAAAAAAAAAAAACTCCTGGAGGGTATCAAAGGAGAGATTGACAGCAATACAATCATAGTAGGTGACTTTAATACCCCACTATCACCATTGGACAAATCCTCTAAACAAAAAATCAGCAAAGAAACATCAATCCTAAATGACTCACGAGACAAGAAGGAATTAATTGACATCTTCAGAACATTTCACCCTAAAGCCAGAGACTACACATTCTTCTCAAGTGCAATTGGGTCATTTTCAAAGATAGACCATATGTTAGGTCATAGGAAAGTCTCTTCAAATTCAAAAAGATAGAAATCAGATCAAGCATCTTCTCAGAGTACAGAGGCATAAAACTGAAAATCAACTACAATAAAAACAATCCAAAAATCAAACACATGGAGATTAAACAGCATGCTATTAAACAATGACTGGGTTACCAGAGAGATCAAGGAAGAAGTAAAAAAACATCATAACAACAAATGACAATGAAAACACAACAATCCAAAATCTATGAGACATAGCTAAAGCAGTCTTGAGCGGGAAATTCATAGCTCTACAAGCCTACTGCAAAAAACAAGAAACAATGGTAATAAACTACCTAACTCTATAACTCAAAGAGAATTAGAAAGGGAGTAACAAGAAAAGCCCAGTATAAGCAGAAGGACATAATAAAGATCAGAGCGGAGATAAATGACATTGAGACCAAAATAACAATATAAAAGATCAATAAAACCAAGAGCTGGTTCTTTGAAAGGACAAACAAGATTGATGAACCTCTAGCCAGCCTCACCTAGAGAGGGGGGAGGCCAAGATGGCGGCGGAGGTAAACACACCTAAACTGCTGCTGTGCACAATAATTTCAAAACTACAACAAAAAGACAAAACATCACCCAGAACCACGGGAAAGCTGGCTGAAAGGAATCTCTACAACTATCCTGAAAGAGAAAGGAGCATTCAGGGCACAAGCGCTGAAAAACTGAGGTACGGGGGTGCATGTGCAATACGGGCTGGCTGCAGATCCTGGCTGGAGGCAGGCAATGCTTTCTTCAATCCAAAGAGAGGCAATCTCCCAATCTCTCTGAAATCCAGTTTCTGGAGAGAAGCTAGACTATTTGTATTCAAGTCGGAAAGTGAGGGAGGTTTGCTTGCAGAGCTGTGCACAAGAATAATTGTTTGCTGTACAGGAGCATGAGAAGCGGGGAGTAAAGGGGATGTGGTCAGAGAGGCAGAGATGGCTGACAGGCAGCCATTGCTGTTAGCCAGGCCCTAGCCTAGTGACTCCCTGAAACTCCACCCTGAGACTCCATCCTGCACAATCTACAAACACACCCAAGCTCCAAGCAGCGGCTTTTGTATATAAATGGCCTTCTCTAGTGCAGTTTAACCTAGCAAACTTGAAACCTGGTGTAGACAGCTCCAAAGCCTCCAAACTCCAAGCAGGGAGGAGAGGACTGTGATTCTTGCTATAGCTTCTGAAGGGTGGCCTCAGACGGTTGCTGAATTGCACCCCATTGGAAATCCAGAAGCCAGTGTTCCTAGTGGTCAGTTTCAACTCCTCACACCCATAAGTCACATGTTCGGGAGACGGACTCATTGAGCACCAAAGCCCCACTGAAACAAGAACTCCAGCACAGCAGTTCTTCCTTTATAGACACAGCAGGTCCTCACAGCCAATTGGCCTGGAGGTCAATTCCTCCCAGTGTACCAACAGCAATCAAGGCTTAATTACACCAAGACTTTGTACTCAGCCCACAAAGGGGTGTACCAAGAGCAACCAGTATGGAATTTCCTCAAAAAACTAAAAATGAAATTCCCATTTGACCCAGTGATCCCACTTCTAGGAATATATTTCAAAAAACTAGAAACACTAATCAGAAAGAATACAGAT